GTGGAAATGTAAAATGACTCTCTGAGATCTAGAGAAGAAGCTGCAATGAGCCTGGGAATTCAGGACCTTTGAACTCATCCACGCAAATGGAAATTTAGAATGTAAAGGACCTACTAAGGCAAGGCACACTTAGAAAAGATATGAGAAGATCCCACTCTAACTTGTGCTAATTCTTAGGCTTAGAGAAAGACTTGCTGGTTGTCTTAGTTTCTCCTTGTAAGGGGACAATACAGGACACCTGAAACTTAAAGGAGGGGGAGTTTATTTTGACTCACAGTTCAGAAATTCCAGTCCAAGCTAGGCAGGCTTAAACCCAGAAATGGCATGTCAGAAGAATGTAGGCGGAGGAAAGAAAGATGTTCATGCTATGGCACCCAGGAAGCAGAGAGCAAATCTATGAACAGGGGAGGGAGATACACCCCTCCAGGTCACTCCCACAGTGACCCATGTCTTGTGGCCAGGTTCCACCTCTTAACCTCACATTCAGCTATCATGTCAGTCACCTTCCAGAAGCCCTTCCTGTGAGCACATGAGGCTGGTGGGGAGGTCATCTAGATATAAACTAGCTAACACTGATCTGTCCAATTACAGAACAAATATCATGTGGTTCTGCTATATAAGGTACCTAGAAAGGTGAATTAATAGAAACAGAAAGAACAGTGGTACCAGCAACTGTAGGTTTGTGAGTAAAAACTTATTTGTACAGGACTTTCAATACAATGGACAAAAATTGGAAAAATCCCAAATGTCATCAACTTATGAATTAGTAAGGAAATTTCCATACAATTGCATATTATTTGGCAATTAAAAATAATGCATATTTTAAATACAAGCTACAAAATGGATGAACCTTGAAAACATTTTTTAAGTGAAAAGCTAGTCACAAAAACCACACATGTTATGCTATAATATTTCTATTTTTCTGGAGCTTTCAATGTAAACAGCTTCCCACTCAGAGCAAAGAGCCCTCCCTCTCTTGAATTGTCTAATGGGTTTGTTCAGTTCTGTGAGAATAATAAAAATCATTAAACAGCACACTTAAATGAATGGGTTGTGTAGCATGTGAATTATATCTTCACAAAACTGTTTATTAAATTTTCCCATAAGATTACTGCTTTTCTAAAAAGGAAAGAGATGAAGTTTTCTTCTTTTTCAGTTTTTCTCTATTTCTTTAATCTTTGTGTACATTTTCTCAACTGTACTGGACTTCATAATACTAATCTTACAGGGTATAAGTGAGGATTAAATAATATGAAGAAGAGGAATATTTCTAAAGTGTACAACTCAGTACATTCTGATTTAAAAATAGCTTCTGCAAATACACCCCCATTTTCAGACTTTGCAAAGGAAGGAGGGGTCACTGGGGAGCAGGACCAAGTCTCCAGAGCTTCCCAATATAGGTAACTTCCCACTGAGAGCAAGGAGCCCTTTCTCCTTTGAATTTCCTGTGGAAGATACAGTGTTTTTTCCCTAAACTTTCACTCACAATAGACCCTTTTGAAATATACTTCTCTCTAATACAAATGGCTCAGAAGCACATGAACAGAAGCTCCTCATATGAGTCACTAAGGGATTGCAAGGCAAAACCACAATGAAACTGTTCATGACCACCAGGATCCCTATAATAAAAAAGGAAGTGCAGAAGGAAGAAGGGTTGGAAAAGTGTGAAGTCAGCACTGTCATTAAGAATGTGAAATTGTGAAGCTGCTATGGAAAAAAAGTGTTTGGCAGTTTCCCGAAAAGTTATACATAGAATTACAGTATAACTCCAACATTTCAGTGTTTGGGAGTTTCTCCAAAAGCTATACACACACACACACACACACACACACACACACACACACACACACACAGATATATACATATCTCTCTGTATATGTATATATATATGGAGAGAGAGAGAGAGAGAGAGAGAATTACAATGACTCCAACATTTCCCTTACTGCTATATACTTCAAAGTCGTGAAAGTTTCAAACAAAAGCTTGTATGCTGATGTTTGCAGAAGCATTACTCACAATAGCCAAAGGTGGAAAAATAATCAAAATGTTCAAAAAATGACAAATTGATAAACAAAATGTATTTGCATACAAGGGCATAATACTCATCCATAAAAAGAAATTGAGAGCTGGACAGAGAAACACATATCTGTCCTCCCAGCACCCTTGGAGGCTGAGGCAGGAGGATTGCAAGTCTACATCCAGCCTGAGTAATTCAGTGACTGACCAAGACCCCTTGTCTATATAAAATCAAAAAATAAAGTCTTGGGTATGTAGCTCAGTGCCAAGGCCCTGTGTTCAATCCTCAGTACTACAAAAAAAGAGGAAATAAAAAAGAAATTTGTACTATATAGCATCAAAGTTCTCTGGAAAAACAGAACCAATAAGATTTGCATTTAAAGATTTATTTTGAAGAATTAGCTCATGGAATTAAAGAGACTGTCAAGTTTCAAATCCGCAGGGTAACTGTGGGGCTAGAGACCCAGGGAAAATTGATGTTATAGTTGCAATCTGAAGCAATTTGCCAACTGGATATCTTCTTTGTCCGGGATAGTGCAGTCTTTTCCTTAAGAACTGGTAGGATGAGACTCATCCCCATTATGAAGGGCAATCTACTTTGCTCAGTCTATTGATCCAAGTGCTAATTTCATTTGAAAAATGCCAGCACAGCAACATTCATATGTGTTTATATTTGACAGATGTGTGTGTCCTATTTATTTCACTTAAGAGTGTGACCTCAATATGCATCCATTTAGCTATAAATGTCTCTAGTTTGTCATTCTTTATGGCTGAGTAGTACTCTATTTAATAAAAAAACCACATCTTCTTTATCCAGTTTCCAGTTGATGGGCACTTGGGCTACTGAATAGTTTCTCTAGTGTAAGAAACTGAAAGTGTAAATAAAGATTAAAATGATTAAAATGAATAATTGATAATTCAAAATAGGAAGAAAAGATCCAAAGGGGTAGGGGTAGTGGGAAGGGCAGGGGAAAGGAAAGAAGGGAAAGGAAAAATTATGAGAAAAGGAAAAAAATGGAAACAAGGTCTTTGTAAATAGGGAAGGGTGGAGGGGGTGAAGGGAGGGAAGGGAATGGGGAAAAAATAAGAACCAAGATACATCATGTACAGGTACAAGTACCCAGTGATAAATGTAAATGTATTTAATACCTAAAATGTACCAATAAAAGAATTTAAGGAAAAAATAAAAAAATAAATCAAGGTAAATTTGACAGATGAAATTTCCCATCACAAGTATTGATAAATACTAGAACATGGAGGAGACTTGGGAACCAGATTAATGGGATAGCTAATACACATGGGCTTCTCCTGGGGCAGGGGTTATAGATAAACTTCAAAGTGGAGGGTGGGTGGTGGGAGCTGGGGTGTGGATCCCTTGGTGGGACAAAGAAGACTGGGAGAGGGAAAGGGGTGTAGAGGAGGGGACTGAGTGTACCCTGTGTATGTGCTGGCTCCATGAGGGGTGAGTGGGCAGTGTGTGCTGCCAACAAGTAATACAATAGGCTAATCTATAGAAACAGAAAGCAGATCAGTGAGTGGTAAGGACTGAAAAATGATGACTAAGACTTTGGTATGGGCTTTCCTTTTGAGGTGATGGGAATGTTCTGCAGCTCTGCACTGGTGTGTTTTAAAATAATCAAAACCACAGTGAGATACCACTTCACACCCATTAAGATGGCTGCTGTTTTTAAAAACAAAAATAAAAACAAAATAACAATGATGTGAAAAAATTGGAACACATGTGTGTTGCTGGTGGAAATGTAAATTGGAGTAGCTTCTGTGGAAAACTGACAATTTTCCCAAAGAACCAAACGTAGACTTACCACATGATCCAATAATCCCACTTATTGAAATATATATACAAGAGGTTAAAACAGGAAGTAGGATAGATTTGTGCATCCTCATTTCATTACACCTTATTCAGAAAAGTGAACAGGTGAAACACAGGTTTGTTCACTGACAGATGAAGAGATAAAGTGCAGCATGAGGGCATACCATGCACTACTGTGGAGCCTTACACAGTGGGGAAGGGGATTCTGACACCTGCTTGAGATGGACCGGCACAATACGAGATCCAATCAGCCAACCACAAAAGGACAAATATCGCATGATTGGCGAAGCCCAACCGACCTCCAATGCTGCTTGACAAAGTTCCAGCTGGGGGAAAGAAAGGGTGGAACACATCGTACCCTCATGTTTTATTTTTTCTTGCCATAGCGTTTATAATTGTTACTCTGGTCACAGGAGTCATTGTGTTTGTGACTAACAACAAACTCTCCATGAGGCAAATTGGTAATGATATATTGAAATCTGATCTGGCTCACAAGTCCCAAATTCCAGTTTCTCTTAGTTCTATTGCCACATCCACTTCTAAAGAAACCTCTCCTAAAACCCCCTCTGTTTCCCCACTAATATGACTCCCCCCCTTATTGTTGACATTCTTTTTACTAAAGGGGTCTTATGAAGAGTTTGGAAGGACAGACTTTAGATGTAAGAAATAGTGGAAAATGGGGAATAGAAAGAACATTAAAACAGGTAAATGCATTAAGGAGACAAGTTACTCAATATCTCTCAAAGTGCTGTAAATATCTCCTGCTCATGGACAATGAACCCAAATGACATTTAGTTAAGATGAATAGAGGTAAAGAAAAATAGAGAGCTAATAGCAAACTATATTAACCATTGTGCAGTTTCTCAAGGGCCAGCTGGCGACCACAAGTTTGACACTTAGTTGATTAAATCTTGCTTGTACCCCCGCTGATATAAAGATTTTGATTAAGTTACTTTCTGTTCTGTTTGGGTGTGGGTAAATAAGGGGACAATTGTAATTTTTAAATATGTATTCATGACGTTCAATGAAATGAAACAGCTTAGAGAAATTGTATTTTGTTTAACAAAAAAATAACCTTTACTTCAATAGAAATTGCTAAGGCAATTTAAAATCTAAACATGTTCCGCCCAATGCCTCCCAGCTATTGCTTAAAGATATAAAAATAAGTCAGACCCTGAGATTTCTCAGAGGGAACCTGGACATTGCTTGTGGAGGTTCTTTCTCATCGCCGGCCCAGGACAACTCCCCTTCCTACTCTACATCGACTGCAGCTGGTCTGCGGCACATGATTTCACTTACATGCAGTACTTGGAGTAAGTAAATTCATAGAGATGGAAAGAGGAACAGTGGTTTCCAGAGACTTGGGGTAAGGAGGAGTGGGGAGTCAGTGTCTCATGGGTGGGTAGCTTCAGTTGGGGAAGATGAAAACATTCTGGAAATGGATGGTAGTGATGGTTGCACAACAGTAAGAATTTACTTAATGCCATAACATAGCACACCTAATTGGTTAAAATGACAAATTTCATTTTATGTGTATTTTACCACAATAAAAAGAAATTTAATTTTCATAAATGAGGTATCTTTATATTTTTAATTTACTTTTATTTTGTGGTACTGGGAATTGAACTGAGGGCCTTCACACTAAGCTACATCCACAGACCATTTTTATTTTTATTTAGAGGCAGGGTCCTGCTAAATTGCTAAGTTGCCCAGGCTGGGCTCAAACCTGGCATGCTTTTGCCTCAGGCTCCCAGAGTACACAGGCTTGTACCACTGCACCTGGGTCTAAACGAGGTATATTTAAACAGAAATGCACATAAATAAGGTTATGTATTGACTGTTTGATGAAAAAGTGACCAGGGTACATTTAACTATGCATTTCCCTAGGAAAAATGATTTAGTATTCACTAATTCAGCATTGGCTATGGTTTTATAAAACATATCAACTGTGAATAACAAGGCTTAATTTTATATAATTGTGATTACCATGTAACATGCTGAATACGTAAAGATGTATGTGAACTGATAAGAGGAATAGCAAGGTTGTCATATGTATTACTCTTCCATATTACTCTTTCTACCAAAAATAAAAAAGTGAAGCAGGATACTGTTGAACAATGCTTATCTTTAGAAAATAGGGAAACAGACAGAAACAAGCACCAATGTGCTATTTAAATGATTTTGGTTCAAGTTCTGGCTCTACAAGTTAAGTTTAATCTCACAGACCCAGAGGCACAAGTATAAGATACGGATATCTCTGAGAATTTGTATCCAAAGATACAATGTGATAGCCCGTGAACATAAGGTGACCCCTTCTGTAGTAGTCCATTCACCTATTCAGTTGGTATATTCTCAGTGTCTACTCCACTCTAGCCACATGGTGGGTAGAGTTCACTTTGGGGAAGATGGATATGAAAAAATTAGTGGCCAAATTGTTGTCATGAGTGAATGTGACACTATGAGAGCAAAATAAGAAGCATTATCTTTCAAGGTACATGCGGATTTTAGAGGAGGGCCATGTTGATCTGTGGGCTAAGACTCATACACCACTCATCCAAGAACCTAAATCCAAACAGTGTTTGGCAGAAGAAAGCAGAAGCAAGTTAGGTTCTGAGGGGGCAGGAGACAGGAAAGGTGTAGGAGTGCGGCCTAAAGCCTCACTGTCTCACAGAGGCACAAACACCTCCTTTTAATGAGTGATGATCTGATCAAGGCAGATGGAAACTGGGTGAGAAATAATGGTTGACTTAGAATATAGAAAATATTGAAGGCCACCATCCTTTATCAAGAGAGAATTCTGGAGGGTTCTTTAGTAGAAAAGCGGTCTTAGGAAAGGTTGTTCTAGAGAAAGATTAATATAAAATATTTCATTATTAAGAGCATTGGACTTGTTTAGATTTTATCCCACCTTCATCTCTTACTATCCTTGTGAACTTCAGCAACTTGCTAACATTCTGTGCATTTTGGATTACTGATATGTAAAATTAAACATGTACCTCAAAGAGCTGATAAGACAAACAAGATCATATGTTTAAAATTCTTAGAACAGTGCTGTTAATAGCACTTAATAAATGTTCACTGTTATTATTGTGTTCAGGAAGAAATAGAAAGAGACATAAAATGAAAATCAAAGTAACCAACTAAGAAATTCTTTGTAGAGGTCAGCAGGCAGGTCCCTGAACTTCAATTTGGGGCATTTGGAAGAAAATGCAAGGATTGGAAAGAAGGGCTCATTTTCCTCTGGATTTCTTCTGTCTCGAAAATGCAGCATATTGACACATTTGGAAAGAGGAAGACTAGCGCACTAATTGAGTAGAGAGATAAGACAGTTGGTCTTTATCATGGCTCTGCCATGCGCCACCTGTATGACTGGGGCCAATGCACACACCTGTGCCAAAGCCAGTCCTCAGCTCTGCTGTCTTTAAAAGAGCATCTTTGGTTTACAGGGTGCTTACCATGTTACTTTTGGAAAATGACAGAATGAGAGCCAGAAAAGTGCAAGGATGGAAATGTTTACAAAATACTTTAATTATATTTTCTCCTGAAGATTTAAGGCTCCTCAGCCTTAACCCCTCTTGGTCCAATACCCTGTTACCTATGGTACTTGTGAATGGGTCGTTGCGCTAGAGCAAAAGTGGAAGCTGGTGTAAGACCTCTCCTCTGTCATCCTCTCATGTCCCTCTTGCAGGTGGGAGTGGAGACCATTTACGCTTTTAAAAATAGAAGCAAGAAAGGGCACTGGAAGCAAGTTGTAATTGCTGGTTTTTGAAAAAGGAAAGAAAGTCCTTCCATGCAAATGTCAGATGCATCCTGAAAATGCTTTCCCTTCTTGGAAGGTCTCTGTCTTGAACAGTTTTTAAAACCTAGGCAGTCAGTCAGAGGAGAATCTTTCTAATTTCTTTTCACTTCTCCAGGTAATAATACTCTTGAGTGAGTTATTCAGCTAACTCTCTGCCAGACTATTAACCTAGAAGCATGCCTGCTGGGCTCCCTAGCTCAGAAAGGGATCTTTGGAGGGACAGGGCCTGGGGAAACAAGCCATGCTTGTGTCCTCTCAGTAGCTCAGCAGATATTGCTTTTCTTCACCTTTATTCCAAGGGCTTGTTTTTTAAAATGAGAAATAGACTGTGCGAGAAGACCCCTCTGAAAAGGTGAAAGAAATAGGATTCATTCAATCTGGAAGGTGATGAAAAATAGAAGATGATAAAGTAACCATCTATAAGGGCTTAACAGGGCTAGACCAGAAAGGGGCTGTTTGTCTTTATTAGGATATGGAAAGGGACTCATGAGGATTGAGACAAGTATCAAAGCGTGTTTAGAAGTAAAATGTGTACAGTGAAAAGGAGAACTCAACAAATATTAATTGACTCACTGGATGAATGGAGGATAGTAGCTGAATGGCAGATGAAGGATTGATGCATAGATGGATGGATGTAGTGTGGACAGAGATCACAGCTGCAATTTATGGACAAACATATTCAAAGGTGACAAAAAATGTTAAAGTTAACAGTTAAATTGTTATAAACCATCCCTTTCAATACTGTGGCCTTCCAGCTAGAAGACACCAATTATAGTCACTCCAATAATTACGATATTTAATACTGAATAATAAAATCTTTATTTTTCTTTGTTGGAATACAATCATTTTATATGTGGTTTCTTATGTTTTCTTTTATGTATTCTATAAGCAAAGTATCATCTTCTCCAATTTACACATACATCAGATTCCTCATTTATTGAATGAACACCAACTATTGTAAAACACACTACTATTTGATAAGCTATTAAGAAAAAAGTCATGGTTAGTATAGTAGTAAGATGAACCTCAAATACAGAAATGTTAAAAAGCTATGGGAGGCAGGGTACCTGAAAGAATGAAATATTATAGTTTGGCCCATCTGAATACCATCCCTCTGCAGCTATGCAGGAGATGGGATAATGACCCTGGGCCTATTGGATCAGGACTTTGTAATGTTCTGTGTTCAGCAGTTGCCCCGGCTACCTGAGCCCACCTTCCTGGCAAGTCTGGATGCTGGTTGCACCTGAAGGGTTGGTGCCCTGTCTCATTCATGTCCTTCCTCTACCCATACATGGATGTTGGGCTCCTCCTCCAGATTTACTATGTAGTCTCTGTCATTTCAAATAATTTTAGAACCAAACCTCACAGCTGGAGAACATCTGGGGATTATTAAAATGGAATATGTCAGACAGGTGCCCCAGATATGGATAGGAAACTAAAATTTAATAGGAAGCTAGCATTGGACAGGAAAATCAATTTAATGATTCACTCCTATACTTAAATTTCTGATAGCCTTAAATATAGACAACAGAACATAATAGCCACATATGTGAGGCTTGTGTCTGGGTCACCCACATCTGTGTTTACTTTGTCCCATCAGAAATCTCACCTGTGAGCATAGATCTGGAAGTTTATGGAAGGTCTCATGTGGGTACACATGATGTTACGGCAAGAGTTCAGAGATCTAGATCAAACCCAAACAGAATTCCTCTACAAGGCTTGACATTTCAACTGTGAACTAATTTAGTAAATTGTGCAGATCTCTTAGTGGTTTCTAACTTTTGGTACTTCTTGTATTTTTGGCAGTTTTGGAAATACAACAGAAACAAGATTTAGGGCACAGAGGGAACGTTAAATTAATGTTCTGCTCTTTGTTCCCTGAACAATTCTACAAATCTCTTTCCTTCTCATAACAAAAGAATCTGAATTATTTGCTTCAGGGTCCACATCTCCTTCTGCCAACTCTACAGAAGCATTGTGGGGCAGTGTGAAGATCAAAGGAAGTCCAAGAGATCTGCCCACTAACTCCCTTGTGATTGTGAGTAGTGTTTGTGGAACACTCCCTGAGCTTTGAGGTTGTCTCCTATAAAACAAGCCTAATAATTCCGGCCTGGAAAAGCCATTACAATTATGTAATGGCACAAAACATGAGGTGTCTGGAATGGAGTAAGTGATCAATAAGTGCACTTACTGATTCCATTTCTTCCTTAAAACTGGAACAAAGAATCCTAGGTGTAAAGTTCCAGCTGTTTATAAGGCTAGGGTTGGGTCTCCTCAGAGAAAAGCAGTTTGGGGGGTTGTTAAAGAAAGTCTTTCACTTGTAGAGATCACTTGAATATGGGCCTTCTTAGTCTTTGAGTTCTTTTTTTTTTTGGTACTGGGGATCGAACTCAGGTCCTTGTGCTTGCGCAGCAGGCAGTGAAACCACTGAGCTAAATCCTCAGCCCCTTAGTCTTTGATTTTGAAGTATTTGAACAAAAAGCTGAACTTTCTATCTCAAACCACCCCCTCACTTCTGTGCTTTCTTTTCAGCCAATCTGGAAATTATATTCTCAACACCCTTGCCCCATGCCCTTTGCCATCCGGGTTCCCCCTTTGTCCTGCCTCTTATGATGAGGCAGCTCCGCTGCATCATCATAACTCATCTTCCCTAACAGGCAGCAGGTCCCATCCCTGGCTCTGTCAGGGCTCTAGGATGACACCAAGTTCTGAGGGAAGTCTTCGACAAGCATGATTTTAGAAGACTATATGGGACCATAGTGATTAATTTGCTATGAGAGTTAAGCAGTGTTTTCTTATTTGAACATTTTATTAAAGTTATTGTTTGTGCTAAACAATCTATTTGGCTGTTACCGTCTATTATCTGCATAAATTCTCATATTAATTTGGAAGAAAGTTCTTTGAAGTGCTCTTTTTATCATTGTGGTTGGAGATAAAATAATTTCAGAAGACAAGGCAAATGAGCTTCCAGACTTTGTCCTGTTTTAAAAGCCCCCTGCCATCTTCACTTGGATATGAAAGAATGATGCATTTCTGACACTAAGCCAGACTTCACAGGTTAAAACCTCAGTCCTCCATAATACTGCCATGACTTCAGATGCTAGTGCAACAGGGTGGTCAGGTCACCCACACCTCTGCCTACAACTTGAGGGGGGCTCCCACTGTTTGTTAAGATTTAACAGTATGCTATAACAGCTCACAGAACTCAGAAAAGCATTCTTTTTATAGTTATAATTTTATTATAGTAAAAGAATATAAATCTGAAACCACAAAAAAGAAAATACCCGGGCTGAGGACTGGCTATCCCTAAACACAAAGCTTCAGCATGTTTAGGGCATGTCTCCTAGCAGAGAAGCAAATCCAAGCCTCAGTATTCAGAGTTTTTGTTGCAGTTTCATTCCACAGACATGACAGAGTCATTAATCACATGATTAAATTTGATCTCCAGTTTCCCTCCTCTCCTAAGTTGATATCTCCCACTTTGAATCCTAACTCTCTAATCACATGGTTGGTCTGTACCGAAGGGCCCCTTTCCATCCTGAAAGTATCTCAGGACCTACCAGAGTCACCTCATTAGCCTAAACCCAGCTGAGGAGCATACCATGAATGATAACAAAGACACTCATCATTCCCACAATTTAGGGAACATTTCCCAGGAATTGGGCACAAAACCTAATCAAATTCCTTATTGTACAATGGGAAATTTCTGCTCGTACCCTGTGTAGTAACTCTATCTTATTTTATGATATATGGAGCAGGCTATGATTACTCTTCTTGATGTCTCAAGCCAAATCTAAAAAGACTTCAAACTTGCTAAACTGGATGGTTTGGATCTTAAAAGTTCTTGATTGCCAACCACTGGCACTATTGGAGGTGGTAGGAAGTGGAGCTTAATGGAAGGAAGTTAGGTCATAGCAGGTGTAGCCCTGCCGGGGATATTGGGAACCCTCTTTCTTTGTTTCCAAGCCACCTTGAGGTACATAGACCTTCTCTGCCACATATTCCTGCCATAATGTACTGTGCCACCATAGCCCCAAAGAAAATGGGGCTAAGAGACCATGGTCTGGAACTTCTGAAATTCTAACCAAAATAAATCTTTCCTCCTGGTAAATTGATTTTCTAACATATTTTCTCATAGCAATAGAAAACTGATTAACACAAGTAGTGATATATCTTTAACTTTCTTTTCTTTGCTCCAAGGACATTTAAAATTGTTCAAAAGATTCAAATAGAGCTCTTCAAATGTAACTGACTGAGGACAAAGAAATAAAGAAAGCACAGTCAGAAATGTGCCGTTACCATTCCAGGGCACTGGAAGTAAGTGAAAGGAGTCCCAGGCTTCATATTTGAGTTTCACTGTTATCATTTGTACGTGAGTTTATAGGACTGTTCTAAAGGCTGAATAGAATAGTTCCTTTAGGGCTTCCTGGGTAAAGCCTGTTCCATACTGGGGCATCAAAAAACAGTGGCTTCTGTCATGACTACACTTGCGTCATAGTAGGGTGGATAAAACTTCACTCCCAGAAACAACTGCTGGGTAGTGCTGGCTTGGCCCCCTTACATTGTAGCATCTAAAATGGGTGATTTGCTTTAAGTTTTCTGTGCTTGACCTTCTTATTGTGTGAAATGAGGTTAGTGTACGTGGTTATCATGTAGTCTTAAAAAGATCTGTGTGGTCCAATATACTTGGTACAGAGCTGGTAAAAAGGTAAACACTTTGAAAATGTTGACCATTTTCATTGTTTCCAAGTCTCTTCTCTATGTCTGCAATATGGAGACATGTTCCAAACCTCGGGCCTCACCTAAGCAGTCAAGCAGCTCTGAGATCTTTGGCTGTGAAGAGAAGCCATTGGATCAGATGGTTTAAAGGGATCCCAAAGGCCTCCTATTGCTCCTTGGAGACCAGATCAGATTGGTTTACTGGCGGGCTGGATTCCTGGCAGCAAACCAGGTGACTGGTGGAGCTTCCTCTCAGGGCCTGGTGGGCCTGTCATTTCTCAGCCACACTCTGGTGGAAACCTGGCATTTTGCAGAATTTCTTCTTCAGCTCATCTCTGTCCTCTTCCCTGGGATCCCTACCCAAACAGTAGAATACAATGAATCAATCAATTTCTGTGTTGCCCAGTTCTACTTTTAAGAAAGTTTTTATTTATTTATTTATTTTTTAACAAAACAGGTCAAAAAGATTGTAGGAGAAGAGGGAGATGTGGATAGAAGTCATTAAAATGTAAAGGCATGTATGGGGCTCTTATCATTATGAGAAGAGGCTACTTAGTGTGTATGTCTATGTACATATCTATGTGCATATGCATCTAACTATGTGTTATGATTTATACCTAGATGTCCCACCAAAGCCTGATGTGCTCATAGGTGGGGCTTTTGGGAGTGACTGGAGCATGGGTGTGTGAGATTGGATTCATTCACCGATTGGTTTAGAATAGTTCTGGGTTACAGATGATGGACTTACTGAAGAGGGAAGACCCACCCTGAGTGTGGATGGCTTGCAGCCTAAATGGAATGAAAAGGGAATTCAAAAGGAAATTGCACTGCTTCCTGCCTGCCATACATGGACTATTTCTCCCCTGCCATTCCCCTCTGCTATGCTGCCCTGCCTTGGAACCAGCTGATGATGGACTGAAACCTCTATAAACTGTGAGGTAAAATAAACTTTTCTTCCTTTTACTTGTGGGTGCTGCATATTGTATCATACCAACAAGAACTAAGACAGTGTATGCATCTTGGTATATTTGTGTGTTTCTGTATGTTTGATGTCTGTGTATCCTCGTCATTTTCCTGTTGCTTCACATAATACCTAACATTCACAGCTTAAGTGAGTGTTTCATGTTGATTTGTAGTTTCAGTTCATGGTCAGCTGGCTTCAGAGTAGGAACATGATGGCAGGGGGCACAGGAGAGTAATAGCTACTCAGCCCATGGAAACCAGGAAACAGAGAAAGAAAGAGGGAGCTGGAGAGGAGAACAGGCCCACTTACAGCCAGGTCCCACATCCTAACAGCATATTCAACTACTGAACTCATCAGTGGATGAATCCACTGATAAATACAGTGTCCTCATGATCTAATCACCTTACAAACACATGAGGGTTTTGTGGGACACTTTAAATCTAAACAATAACAGCGTATATTTCTCTCTGTGTGTGTATCAGGCCACAGGGCTGCTTTTTCATTACAACTCTCATTCTTCAATTTTCTGGTCCTTTAGCTTGAGAGCCAGCATGCTCAGCCTCCAGGGAGGTAATTAAGACAAGAAAGGTGTTTATTTAGTTGAGGAGTAGAGGGAGAGCTGACATCTCAGCTTAGGAAGTCTTTGCTGGATCTGAACCTCCCCCCACTAGAGGAACAGGAGTGCCAGGTGTTGCTACCTTGGGATCCCTCACTCAGCAGCTCCCTTCACAGAAACCTGCAAATTGGTATTCTGCCTCTTACCAAGCAGGGCTCTTCACAATAAGACAGCAACTCCTCATGGTTCAAAAGTCCCCAGCCACCCATTTAATTCACACAGGAAGTCCACAAGCAGGCATTAATGTCCTCTGTTACAGGTAAGTAAACAAGAAATCAGAAAAGTAAAGTTACTTGCTCAATGTAATAGCTTCTTTCTCTCTTCCTTTGAATTTCCTGTTTTTGGCATGATATACACAGAGACACAAACACAGAGACAAATAACATACACACAAAAAAACATGTCCAGATAGGCTCATACCCACATAGATACACACAAACAGATACACACTGAGATAGATGCAGAGATACAAACACATACATACACACACTCAGATTTGGGCACAGCAAGAAAAAATAACCGGCTTAGCTGGTAATGTCTGCCCAGGACACAAAGGAGGGTTACTGGCAACCCAGGACACAGGCATTTGCTGTCATTGTCCTAGCCAGTGGCTTTTCTCTCGGGAAGTTCTGGCTCATGAATTAGATACAAGGTGGAGAAGTCAAGTGACATAAGTGAAGATAAGTTCCTTTAGGTTAGATTCCCATCCTTCACACAAACATGGGAAGCCATCATTTTCCATTCCTTAGAGGTTGCCCACAATCTCAACTCTGATGCCCACTGACCATCACCCTGCCAGAAGGTGAGTCAGAAGCTCACTTTCCCACTCTCTGCTGCTGTGTAAATTATGCTGATCCTTTTTGGTTTATTAATGACCACAGGAGATGCCCAGATAGACCACCCATGTTATGAGGTACAATGGCCATGCTTAACGACTGTCGACAGTCCTCCATTCTGCAAACCCTGACAGAAAACATGGTGCTGGTAATATCTGCAGGCCAGATCTCTAAGAATGTCAATTCTCTGCTCACTATTTTATTATCCTTCTGAAGCTTTTTATTGTCCTCACAGAGCTTTTAAAACTGTGATGATTTTAATCCACAAGTGAAAATTATTTGATGTGCCTCCCAGCAGAAGGCAAAGTCAGATGCTTTCCCTTGAATGTGAGCTAACTGGACTTAGGGGTTCTCTTCAGTTGCATAGGATTGGGGAACCTGGGGGATATCCAAGGCTAGGCCACCACCAAAGGAGTTACAGCTCCCACCTGCCTCTCTCTGCCTTGCAATTCCTGCCCTTGGAACCAAACTGCTGTGGTGTGACAAAGCTCTAGCCACTCAAAGACATCACACTGGGAAGCCCTGGCCAGCATCTCACTGATGGGCTATCCATACTGTGTCACGACTCAGGAGTAAGGGGACCAGTGTGGTCACTCCAGCGTGGAGACCATGTGACTTCAACTGCTCCAAAGACCAGGAGAGAGAAGAGTACCCAGTGAGTCCACACAACTGTGACAACTAATAATAAACAATTATTATTTCACAGACACTAATCATGTTAGGACAAATAGAATGCCTGTTTTCCCTTTGTACTCATGCTTCAACAACCCACAAAGAAGACTTCTGTGATGATGAAAGATATGGCAAGAAAGCAATTATTTCTGTGGTAGTGTTATAGAATATCTGAACCAGGAAACAGATAGCACCCAGGGGTTTGGAGGCAGTAAACAACTTTATTTACACCTGTGGACCTGACTGGGATCTTTCCCCAATGAAGTCAGGCCTAGAATATTGGGAGGGTCAGTAGCTTTATAGGGTTGTAAGCAGGAGGTAAAGAAGCAGAAGCAGAGCATTTGACAGTCTTTGGTTGGTTAGTTATTTGACAATTTTACAACTATGAGGCTTAATTCTACTGGAATTTCCTTGGGAATATAGCAAGCAGAGTTTACACAAAGCAGAGCAGTGGATAGGGGGCAGAGCAAAGAGTTCTGGCAGGACATTCGAGTCCATTATGGTGACACATTACAGAAGTTGTCATGGCTACTCAGCTATATTTTATAAAGAGCATAGTTTCCTAGTTAACCCATAGTTGCTTAATAACACAGTTAACTCATAGTTGTCCAATTCAGTTATTTTTTTGTTAAAAAAATCCATCTGCATGGAAATTCCCTTTCAGTAGCAGACACCAGCAGATGTCTTTAGTCCAATTCATTTCTGACACGAAGTGGAGATAACATCAGATTCCACAGTATGAGGGTTCAGTCCCCATGACTGCTCCCATTTCATTCAAGAGCAACTCTGAACTTGTGACCTACCAGGTCCAATTTGGGATTCTCAGGACTGCCTTTCCAGGTTCAATTCATTTTCTAGCAGATATCCCGGTACTCAGGGAACTCTGTATTTACATTTATCAGTTTATTACAAAGGATACTCGAGGACATTACAAATAAATGCATGTGAAGTGTGTGCAAAGGGGCACAGAGTTTCCACACCTTTTTCACCTCATTGCCTTCCACATCCTCCAGGTTGTGTTCAGCTATCCAGCTGCGCTTGGAGACCTGTCATTTGGCTTCATTATGTAGGTGCAATTGATTATATCATCGTCATTGGTGATCAACTCAACATTCAGACCCCTCCCCTTCTCAGAGGTTGAAGGTGGATCTGAAAATCCCAAACCTGTAATCCTGGCTGTTTCCCGTGACAGTACTCATCCTGATGCCATTCAGGGGCTGTCAGCACTTAGCTGACCAACTCTTATATAATATTTTTCTTTCAGGATAAGTTATCAACTAATTTTATAATAAACAACACCTTGGATTTGATACACTGGGGTGATGAAATATGAAATTATTGAAGTAGGGAGGAGTGTTGGTTTGCAGTAGTGATTCTCCATCTTGAGCCTGCTTGAGAATCACTATCAGGACCTCTAAAACACAGATTGCTGCCTCACCACAGGGTTTGAATAATTTTGGTTGGGGCCTGGAAATTGCATTTCTACCAAGTTCCCAGATCATTCTGTCACTGCTGACCTGGGGCTCAGGCTCTGAGGGTGGGGGACTAAAGGCATCTCTTCTCTCTGAGCCTTGTACCTCAAGCCATGGTATTGCCTTGAGAGAAATGTGGCTCTCTTGGCTTCCCCACCTTCTTTGCTGCATTCTTTCCCTGCTTCTCTGGATTGATGGAAGTGGCTTCCTGGTCTCATTTTCTCTAATCTTCATTAATCTCTTTCCTGGAGTGGGCAATATCTTTGTCTGACCTTTGTTTTTTTAGTGTCCCCTTTTTCCATTTAAACCTGTGATGAGTAAACTTTCAGAGCTTTCAGTGATACAGCCCTCTGCAGCATGTGGGCCATAAGTTCACCATCACTGATTTAAACCTTTGGGTAGATTGTTGACTACAGATTTTTCTAGTTGCCTTCTAACTTCCTAAATGACAGGATTCTCTAATAGATACTAGTCTTTTTCATACTATAGGAAACTTAAAACCTCATAATATACAATATGCCCAATGGACTATTGGACATATGAAAGCATATGTGATATATAATTCTTCTGCATATTTGCTGGGAGTGTAAAAAGAGTGAAGCCATTTTGGATCAAATGAGGAGATGTATAGATCTCATAGAAGTAAATATTTGCCTATGTAATAACCCAGCATTTAAACTGCTACTTGGGTTGCCAGTTAAAGTACAGGATGTTGAGTTAAATTTGAACTTCAGGAAAAACATTAAATTTTGATATATTTATGTTCTAATAAAATATTTGTATAGTTATGTTCCTATAAAATATTGCATGGGACATATTTATACCAAAAATTAATTGTTTATATGTAATTCAAATCTTTTGTATGTTTTAATTTATGATGTCTAGGAGTCCTAATTTTACCCAAGAAAAATAAAAACATGCTCACAAAAAAGCCTTATAGAGAGAGGAGGTGAACATTTTGGGCCACTGTACCACAGCTTCCAGCACCAAGGAGCAGAGCTGCCCCCAGCAAAGAGGACCTGAACTTCTGGGTCACTATACCAGTGTCCCCAGCACCAAGGAGGTGAGCCCTGTGGCCACTAGCAGTACACAACCCTCCTGCACCCCCCAACCACAACCATGGAAATGAGAAGACAAGTGAACAAGTCTCAAAACCAGACTTCCAGATCACCTAAAGCAACTGGAAAAGGAAAAGAGGTGGAATAATCTGATACTCAACAACTTAGACCCCCTGAACTGGCAACAAAAGAGGATCTGGAAAAAATGAAATCAGAAATAATTTCTCAGATTACAGCAGAGATTGTGCCCATAGTGCAAGACATGACTAGAGAGGACACAGATAAAAAAAATA